TGTCTTTCTCCCACGCTTCACAGGTACATTCCCGTTTTTGGTAGGGAAAAGATAAACCTGGTACGCGCTATTACGTCACAAACAACGTACTTCTTTCAACATGACCTGTGACCCTGTGCACTTTTAGCAAAACCGATTTCATCATCACTTTAATACACATGTATTGAACAATTACAGAACAGTCAACAAAAAAAAAAAAAAAGCATAGGATGTCGTCGCTTCTCTCAATGACCAATGGCTCAAATGAAACCGTACAAACGGACTTAGGACGACACACTGGGTCTAGTGCACCTACCTCACATCGGCCGATGTCAAACAGTCAACAAACATTACACATGTGACCACAGCGCACAACAGCATGTCCTTGTGCGAACCTGAAAGCGTTCGTAAATCCAATGAATGAGAAATCCCGAGTATATTCCTAGGCACAGCAATCACTGGATGAACTTTTAACATTACTATTAACAATAACACAACGATGTCTGCCCCCAAAACGAAACGACCGAGGGTGTTGTATTCTGACTCCGAGTGAACTTTTCGAAGCGTGAAGTCAGCGAGTGCAAGTAGTCTTTTTTGTGTTTTCGTTAAAGACACTATATCGATTAATAGTATAACAAAAAATGTCAATATACAATATAACGTTGCTAATGATACTTATGTATTAAATATCTTAAATTAATTATGACCGCTATTTTTTATTTACGTTGCAGATTTTTTACGCACATTTGCAGCACAGCGGCTATGTGTGTATTCATGCGCCATTGATGATAGTACGGTGCATTGGGGTCAAAAATACAACTTCGCAGTGGAGGTAATTTTACGGTGAGAAAAATGTGGGAGAAAAATAATCAATCACTCCTGTGTGATGTAGACAGAGATATCTCAACCCTATTTCTCGGCAAAGCCACGTGCTAAACCTAAAACAATATCTCACCCTCTGGTTGAGATATCTCTGTCTACATCACACAGGAGTGATAGATTCTATTATTCTCCCATCCTTCACAATTGCGTCTCCCGTTTTAACCGAGAAACATCAGCTTGTCACCCCTAGGGAGAGAAAGCCTCATGCCGATTAGCACTAGTTCAATTGTGACGTCATTAAAATGCGTCATCGGCAATTGTGACGTCATCAAAAGGGAATGACGATATGCATACCCCACATGTGTTTTTGTTTACAAACATGGCAGACTTCTGTCGGTGGAGCTGTGACTGAAATAATAGGATGGGAGAAAAATATTCATCCCCTACCCTGAGGGTGTGACAGAGGAATCTCCAACTGATAATTTTTGGTTGTCTAACCAGAGGCTCTGTTTGCAAATATGGGATATGCTTAATCTGGCTGGCTGATTTGTTTTTCGTCTTAAAAGCTCAGGGGAAAAATTGGTGGCCAGTCCAAACGCATTTTCATGGTTTCTGAGCTTATTCTGGTGGTTGGAATGAGAAGAAAACCCTATTTCATGCCCAAGGGTGTAGGATAGAGAAATTCTACCCTAGGGTTTTTCAAATTTGAAAACCCCTCTGGTGGAATTTCCCTATCCTACACCCCTGGGCATGAAAGAGTGTTATAATCTTTTAAAACTATATTTATCTCGTTCTGTGTGCACTCTGATATCCTTGATGTAAAATATTCAGAAAATATTACAGAAATAGTTCCTGAACTAAATTTTGTTCGGAAAATGATACCGTACCTATTTGCATGCGTATAACATCCGGCAAAAAGTGCAAGAATTGATAAATATTCTTCAAGTACTGGTACAAATGTTTTAATGTGACTAGTTTTCGTTTCATTATAAACATATGCAGCACCTCAGTTAAAGTGAACGTTTCAGTTATACTTTATAAAAACTAATAATAAAACAAAGGGATTAAAATGAATAAGTTGTGACAATTGATGCCTGAATTAAAAGTCCTTCGACATGGAACTATCTAAAAAGACTGACAACTAGGGAAATACAACAATAGTCAAGCTTTACCAGGGACGAAAAATAATAAAGAAACAAAACACCCCAAAACAAAACAAAACAAAATCACATTTTCCTTGGAATGATGGGGACCATTTGACATGCTATTGTCTCTATGATATACATGCCTGATGATGTGTTCAGGTACAGGGTACCACTGCATCGGTTGTTATCGTGAGGGAGAGTCTGCTGATAAGTCTTCCCTTGACAAGTCATAGGCTTCGAGGGCGGCCATAAATTGTATTCTTATTTTTATGCTTTGTATCTATGATAACTTGATGGAAACATTGATAAAGTGTAGACTTTGTAACGTAAAGGTCCCGACCACTGCTGTTTTGATGTTTTCTTTTTATTACTATTTTCAAACATTCAAAAGTACTTACTATATAATTCTGTAAAATGCATCACAACATGCTTGATTTTTTTGCTTCTTTCACAATGGTAGTACTTGTAATAGTAAAGTTTAAAGTTTTGGTACCCTTAACCTAAATTAGTTTTATACATTTTAAAAATCTTTTAAAAGTTTTACGGAAGAATCTCCAGACATATATAAAACAAAACAAATATTTTTGCATATTCAAACAACTGCGATCAGTTGTTTGCTAACCATTTACTTCCACCTACAAAATAAAATACACATGCCATGCTCAGTTATATGTATATATTTCATTTTTATATTTATGTCAGTAAAAACAGGGGGTGTTATAGTACACACTGTAGTGAAAAATATTGCTTCATCACCACAAACAAATCGTTTCCGCTCTTTGATATTTTGACTTTACGTATTCTGGTTGATGACCTTCAATGTAAATATTAAGTTTGTTATACAGCAACAATATTTAAGACAACAATGGCTTTGTACACTATAGATTCGATTCATAAACATGTTTACGCTTAGATGTGTTTAGCCAGGTGGCATAGGACTAGTCGTTGGGGCTTAAGTTGTGTTTAAATTAATAGAGCTACTGTCTAGCAAAACTTTTAAACTTATTAGAAATTTAAGTAAGTGCTTGACTCGGGCAACTGTTAAGAGAAGTCGTACATTATGATATATAAGCTGTATCAACGTCTTGCTATACACGTTTTGTTACTGTATAATGTGATTGAGATCTATGTCTTTTACTTCACAATGAGTTATAACCCATTTCACTATGTAATATATCGTTCTACCTTCATGTTGAGGTTGCATGATTGACTTTGAAGTTTTATTATTATTTCATAAACAACTAAAGTATGCTTCATAAGAATCCGCTAAGCTAACTTAGGAAAAGCTTACAGTTTCCCCCAACTCATAACTATTTCATGAATTTGTAATCATTATATATGGAATTAAATCTATTGCATATGTTCTCCGCCATTGTACAAGATATTTGTAAAGTATTGATCAATATGTGTATTTCTGTACGCCTATATCCAATGTGCATTTGGTAATAAATTGAATTAATTGAAAGGGTCTGATAAGGCACCACCTGCATATTCCCCAAATTGCATTGATTCATGTATTTTTAATATAAATGTAAATTTTTGATTGTATAAATTGTTTTCTATGTACTGTAAAGCGCTATAGATCGGTTTATTCTAGCTTGATATAGGGTGTTATATCAAATGTTGTATATTTATATAATTCATTTATTTTTTTACCTTATACGACTCTGGTTATATCACTCATATATAAAGCTAGCTGTTCCACAAAACGTGTTTAGTTCCAAACGAATAAGTAAGTATTCTTCAAGTGCTAGTACATCATTTTTATATTGTAAGGTGAGTATTATGTTGTTTTCAGGTGAAATATTATGATTGAAAAACATACAAATGATCGTTATAAATCTAATCATTCCAATATGCTTAAATGAATACGTACACATGTACATTGTATATGATTCCCAAATAAATTAAAACTAATGCATTTTGAAGCAAGCATATGAATTTAATATTTTGTGACTCATTGCTAAAATTTGTTATTGAATATAATTCTTTTCAGTAAGACTGGGTTTGAACACTGACCATTGGTGAAAAATTCAATCATTAACTGTCATGGCCCTTGTTGAGAAGACTGACGACCAGGGAAATACCATTCTATTCAAGAGTTACAAGGGGCGAACGTTCAATAAAGATACTCCTGGTAATGTTGGGGACCATCTTGATACGGTAGCGTCCCTACATTGTAGGCCTGATGATGTCTTACTGTGTACATTTCCAAAATCAGGTAAATATCAAGAGTCAATGGTCTCCGAGTATAATATTTCGTTTGTTTATAATTTGCGAAAAAATAATCATTAGGCAGCTACATGTAGATATGTTTATAATGACTATAAAGATCGATCCCATGTGCAGTTTAAAATAAGATTAACTCCCTAGAATGAAATAATGGACAATAAAGAAGAAGTGAAGCCAGACTTATACTGTTATATAAAATAATGGGGGTAAGTTGAAGAAGTTCATAATGTCCCCACTATGACTCGTCTCACAATGAATAAATATGCATTTCACAAATAAATAAATAAATAAATAAATAAATAAAAAAATACACTTAGTAGAGTAAGTCGAAGATATGGTCTCATAACTGGACTTTTTCCTCACTACCAACCTTAATTTTTATTTTATTTTGATGTCCTTCATATAAAACTGACATGTACGTATAGCACGAATTGAGATTTCTTTTTTGTCAATACATCTTGAGAAAACAATTCAGCAAATATTGCCATTTACTTTCAAAAGTTATAATTGTTTTCTTCTTCTGATTAATAAATAAGTTAATTGTTCCTTCCTTTTAGAGCTGGGAATGATTGCTAAATAACATTAACACGACTAAAGAAACCAATTTAGTTGATACATACTTATTTCAACAGAATCGACATTGAGTTTATAAATGTGCCACAATTACACACTCCAATTTTACTATTTAACTTGACCACAGATTATAAATGTCTTTATCCACAATAATATGTAAAACGCATAAAAAGAGAATTATATCTCATACTACATGTATCATGTTCATGTGGTTTTAATGTGATATCATGATATCTATATAATGTATGCTAATGTTATTAAATAGAATATTATCAGAATGTACATGTACTATTTACTGTAAGCTTGTGTATGCCTTTACGTTAAATACATCCTCTACACATCTTATATTGTTTTTGCATTATTTTTCTCCTATTAACTTTATTAAAATTAAAGTGTACATATATGTATGTAGATTATTGAAACAATATAAATTGTATGACATATAATCATCCCCTGATATATATAAATTTGTTTACAACAATTTAAATCTAATGTTATGATACGATTATAAATTGTGACCGCACAACGCACCAAATTTGTTCAAGCCTTGCTGAGATTGTTGTTTATATTAAATTAAGTCAGTTTTAGTATGATCGATGGGAAAATATCTCGAAGAAGAAATCATATTTGTAACACATAGACTGGTATCCAACCCTGGTGAAAAGTATTACTTTAATGATAAAACAGTATATATACAAGGCAAGATGTCTTAAAGTCCCTTTATCTATACAAGGAATTAAAAGTTCAATTGAAGAACAAAAGCAAATATTAAAGACGAAAAATATTTCATTAACTTCCAGAATGAGTGGAAAAAATGGAAAAGACTTATTGATATATCCTAGACCTACATTTTGCCGATTATATGTTTATATGTTTGATCTTATTTGAATTTATTTGAAAGAAAAAAAAAGAAAAAATTGAAACATACAATGTGTTATCTTAATTACTTAGCTACTGACACCTATATATTACCAGACTTCTATCCTTTACATTGGTTTGTTTAATACTGGTACTTCTCCTCTTGTCTGTCTATCCTTTCGTCTGTCTGTGTCTTTCTGTCTTTCTTTCTGTCCATTTACCTGTCTTTATTTCCTCTATTTCTTTGTTTTCTTGTTTCTCTTATGTGATTTTCATTCCTTTCTAATATAACATTACAAAAAAATAAAATACCACTTACCAAAAGAGCAATATTGATTAGGATAAAAGTATGTGTGAAAGTGGAATTCATTAACGTGAAAAATATCTTGAAAATAAACAAATAATAAAAAAAAAAAAATCGATGGGAAAATATCTCGTAGAAGAAATAATATTTGTAACACATAAACAGGTATCCATCTCTGTTTCCATGTGTTAACAATGTGTTATATTACCCTGCTCAGGTTCTTACATGAACAGTTGTAAAACGAAATAGTGTCATTTCAAAAATGGCCAACTATCTTGCAGCCTATTTAATCGACCTATCCATAAACATTAAACATCCCAATAGTTCACTAATTATTTCACTATAATATAAGTGCTAAGTATATTATTATGTATAATGCAAAAATTCCCCTATGCACTTCCAGGTACATATTGGTGACCCATAGAGGGGCTATAGATAATCCTTCAAAAATGTATGAAGGAAAATGATAAAATCTTTCATATCTTCAATCATGGAGCTGAAGCTGTGAAATTTGTATATTATAATATTTGTAGTTAAATGTTCAGTACTGTTTTGTTTGTATGTGATGCCATATACACTGAAATAGTATATATATATATATCATACATTTAACTCTTATGCATGTATATGTACATTTGTCTTTGATACACGAATGAAGTGCTTAAATAGTAAGATGTTAGCTCCCTTTCCTCGATGCTGTGTATATGTATCATAAGCATTTCTTGCCCATGGCTAAAGGTTCTAAATCAACAGCCATGATGCATGGATGCATCATGGAGAACAGGAACAGCTACTTCCAAATTTGGTCTCACATGGCGCATTTTAGTATATCTAGCATACTACCTTGTAATTAAAATGATCCTATTATTGTATATATGGACGTTCATTATAACCCGGGTCCACTTTCCAATAGAAATAATAATAAGTACCAATTTGCAAATGTTTCATTATGCAATTTAAATACCTGCTCCCTTAGAAATAAACTTGCTATTGTAGAAAGTGAATGTTCCCATTTTGATATGATATCCCAAACTTAAACTAACCTAAATGATATTGTATCTGATAACGACCCATTATTAGACAGCCACAAACTCAAACTCGCAAACAGACAACTCACCAATCATTTGTAATAACAATATTAACATACACCCAATCGACAATGCAGAATGTTTTAATGAATAGTTCTCCTCAATATCTACTACTAACAAAACTGATGCTGATATACCTGAAATCAATCCTTACTTTCCTCATTCACTTCATTCTATTGAGATATCTGAACAAGATGTTCTTGACTAATTAAATCAAATTAATATAAAAAAAAGCCAGAATGACCGGATACATATTCTCCAAAATTGATCAAAAGACTATCTCATGAACTAGCTTAACCTCTACATATTCTTTTTAACAAGTCAATATCTACCGGGAATTTACCTTAATCATGGAAAAAAAACTAATGTTACTCCTATATGTAAGGGCAACGGTGAACAAACTGATACAACAAACCATATACTTGTTAAAATACTAGACAAAATGATTTTAAGTACCAATATAATTTTCTGTCAAATCATAATATCTTGTCAAAAAAACAGTCTGGCTTCATTCCAAATGACTCTACGGTTACATCATATGATATCGGTAATGAAACGGATTGGTGTTTTGCGACATTAGTAAAGCATTCGACAGGGTTTGGCATACTGGGCTTATCACTAAGCGAAAGAAATATGGTAATAATGGTAATGTATTGAAATGGTTTGAAACTTATGTAAGCAATATAAAACAAGGGGTATCAATACAGTAGATGGTTACACTCCTTATGGAAAACTCTTAAAACCGGTGTACCTCAAGGGTCTGTCCTCGATCCATTTTTTTATTTACATAAATGACCTTGAAAATGAAGTTGAATCTAAAACTAAATTATTCGCTGATGACACATCATTTTATGCTTTAATCAATAATGACTCTAATCTGGTAGTTCCATGGAATCAAACAATGGCGTGTAAACAGTGAACAAAACCCAATAAAGTGGTCTCTAGTCATAATATTCATACTTGCAGTTCAGTCACATATGTCTTCTTTTTCACCTTCATCTGGCCCTGCTCTAGAATCTAACCGACACTCTTCATCACTTAATGTCGAATGTAACATATTGCGAAATGCCAACATTTAATTGCAACTGACACCATTTGAACATATTGCAATTTTATAGATATATACTAATGGATGCTTCCACAAGTATTTGATGACAATTGAAGTATTTTTCTATACAAAGACAACAAAGGCCGGTATTACACACCTAGATACTTGTGATAAAAATAATTAACACTGCCCCATTTTAGACTCTGCCTCTCTGCATGAAATCAGATATGGATGTACCAGAAACACCAACTACAGATTAATTCCAGATATTTATAAACTAAAATAGACAATCACATTTTAGTGTAGCATTCAAGCTGTATTTCATTTTTATACATATATTATATATACTTCAAAATATAAATATATGCAGCTAATTTGTGAACAAAATTAATTTGCAAACGAGTTTGATATACATAAATTAGGTCTACAAATTTTCTTATATCTTTCCAAACATATACAAACACAAATAAAATCACGTTTATTCATTTATGATAAACACTTTCTGCAGTTCATAATAAATATAATAACCGTTTGTAAATGTCACCACATATTTGACAGAAAAGTGAGAAAAAAAATGAAATAAAAAATTGAATTACTTTCATCGATTTTGTTATTTCAATTTACTACCTTCATAATACACAAAGTATCCACCGCTATATCATTTATTAGTTACAAGGGAATATGGCCAACAGTCTTCAGTATTTGAGTTTTATCATTACATTTATTAACACACATATATGGCTGTTGGTTGTACTTATGTCATAATGTCCAATGCCCCTTTGTGATATAAAGTAGGCCAAAAACTGTGGTTATAAATACATAAAAAGAGACTATAGCAGGCAAATTTCTAAAATTATATTTCACTTGGCAATATTTTTATAATATATTTCCGAACAACAATGGAATCACTAAGAATTACATTATTTCCCTAAAGAGAGACTTGCGAGGTATCAAACTTTCAAACATATATGATATATCCCCTACTTAGGCTGAGTGTTGTTGGTGATAGACAAAGTCACGAAAGACTCCAGTTTGCTTCGAAAAGCTTCACCATGTTAATTGTCTGTCTCACTCCACTCGGCTACTTAAAAAATTCACACGAACACAAATGTACTATTTGCCGCTAGCTCGCCGAATGGACGTAGGACGGTGGGCGTTTAATCAATATACAACGTTATACACAACTACATATATACATTTCAAAATCGTTTCAAAAAGATGAGAATGACGTCTAAAATATACCCGTGATAATGCGGGCTAAACAATGCTACATGTGTACGTCAAAAAATGTACATCTCCAAGTCTGACTGCAAAAAAAAAAAATACCGAAATAAACCCCCGGTCATCGAAACCAACCTGCACGCCCAGGAAAAACCGGAGATAGTCCCCGGAAACCTTTATCCAAAAGCGGGAATAACTATTACTTCCCTGCAAGCCCGATTTCTGCGAGGCGACAGTTGGACTACTGTCTTACTCTGTCCTAAAAGGATCCGTCATGTCAAAACAAAACACGAAATAACATGAATACACCTGTGAGTATCGTGAACAAAAAACCTGTTGTGGACTTTATGAAAATTTGCATTCAATATAAAACAAAAA